AACTTTCATTCCGAAACGGGCCCAACTTTACTGTTCTGCCGTAACGAGAAAGTCGAATACGTCCTCACCTTCTCTCTACGAATTTNTGGAAGTGACCCAATCCTTCTAGCACTTTGTAAGAATTAAATATCTTCTGAATCGATACAGTTCCATTTGAACATTGTGAAAACTAGAAGTGCACTCATACATTTCGACGACTTCTGCTGAATGTCATGTGCATGGCGGAAACGATAAGAGCTGGTGTAAGATCCCAATGCACGTTCTTCTATGAAAAATGCAAAAATACCAGGTTATGGGGAGCTATATCTGAACATCCAGACTGCTTTCAGGATATCATGACCAACTGATAATGTACTCGGCGGCATATGCCGTTTCGGTATGTACGCAAGTTCTGTGAACCGTAGTCTTAGTCAAAATTCCATAGATACCGGAATTCAGAGCGAACTACCTGGCGGGTTCAGGGACCTTGCCCATATGAAACTCAGTTCTTTCATTTTCTTAGATCAATCTGTGTCATCCTTTCAGACCTGAGAGGAGTAGTCGAGAAAGTATGGCTTAGATAGCTTTTTAGACCAATGAAGTAGACGGGAAAGGATGGCTTAGATGGCGCCGGATCCGAGAATTTGCTTAGTTGCTAGGTTTGTGTTGTGAAAAGCATTAAAGGAAGGAAAATAGTAAATTAACTGCCAAAATAAGAGCAAAACGCTCAATATCTTCGCATGTCCCTAATTTAGGCCAAATTAGTCATCTTCAAGTCTAGCCTATTGGTGTCTGCTTTACAGCGTTGGTAGGTAAAGCCCGAACGAATTATTTACTGATATATTTATTAATATCTATGATCGATATTGAACAAAATCAATGCAATGCTGGCTTTTTGCAGACGAACGCTCTCATATTCGTTGCACATGGAATGTCGTTCCAATGGCGGTAGCTGCTGTCTTTTGTCGGATCTTTTCCGGTGTAATCGCTATACATCTGCAACATATAATTCTCAGGAAGTTCGGATTCATCCTGTGGGTCTATACATGTACTTGAAACTGGTAATCGAGGGACATGAACGGGGCAGGCTGAGGGAAACTTCTCAAAAAAACCTTCCTCACTTCCATCCCCAAACGCATGTATCTTTCATTGCGAGTAAAAGTTACAAGCACCATTCAATAACAGTCTCACGCACTGACAGAAATAACTGAAAAGCGTGAAGCCTAGAGGGGGTGGGAAGAGGGGAAATTATGGGACGACTTGTCAAATTTGAGGGGAAATGATAGGACGACTTGTCAAATTTGAACCCTGAAACAACCAATTCACAACTTTCATTCCGAAACGGGCCCAACTTTACTGTTCTGGAAAGTCGAATACGTCCTCACCTTCTCTCTACGAATTTCGTTATGAATATTTTATCATAACTTACCTGTGCGCAGTGTTCTTTACCATGATCGTTGTCAGGTTGTTTGGGAGCCCAGTTCTTGTAGTCGAATGGTGTCCCATCGGTCCAGGTCCAGTCGGTCTTGGTGGGATAGTCGGCTTGATGAAGACCCATCCATGTTAAATCATCCGAACTCCCGTAATCATTACCAGATTCGGCAATCTCTTAATTTAGTGAATTCGTTTTCTAGCTGATGGCTTTCATGCAATATGTTGCGTAGAACAGTAGAGGGTGCGTTTTCTTTATGCATGGGTAGATAAAAAGAGCTCGAGTTAAGCTCGAGTTCAAGGAAAACAAATCTAATAAATACATTGTTTTCCACATTTTCCCCTTCAAAACGTCTCAATCCGGGGAGATACAAACCGAAATGAAGCCGTAGCTTCTGGGTGGTGTATCCAGACTGTGGGTCTGAAACGTGTGTTCGGTGCAGCTTCTCTACAATTCACGAAGAGGAACCCTAGCAGTGACTTGTAGTGAATACGCATGCCAAAACAGCTGAAGGTCTTTTGAAACACCATAGCCCACTTTGTATAGCCCCATACCGGTAGCGACATCCTTTGACCAGTGGGAGGGATACAGTAGTCGGGGTCAAGTAGAGACTATTTCGAGCAGTATACAGTACCTATGACAAAACTATTTTCTTCCGTACTGTGAATGGAAGCCAGATGTCCACCTTCTGATACGCAGATTTCCTCAGCATTATCAAATGTTGCCCAAAAGAATCTCTGAAACCTCCTGAATGAGAATTTTGGCATAGCACCTTCTTTATTAATCTCTAACGTTGATTTTCGACTAAAAATGAACTTCAATTCTGCAGTAACTACTTCGAGCTAATGGCAGCTGCGCTGGTACATAATGAAGAAACGACAAGCTCACGGATTGTGATTGTCTTAAATAGTGGGTCTACGACTCACACGGTAGCAAGAATCCGTTCCTTCAAAGTATGTCCATTCCGAATCGCAGTGTCCTGGCTCACCTGAAAAGTATCACTCGAGTTTACAATACCTTCATGCGGATTTGGTAGAGTTCTTAAAGAAATATTGAAAAGTAGATGAAATATAGTTAACAAAATGTAGAATTATCACTTGATGTAAATAATAGCAAAGTAGTTGCTTCACCGACCGCACTTCCATCCACACTCCTTATTCTGGAGGGTGATCTGACCTGACAATGTTTGAAAGATAATTATAGTAAGCTGCTCACGTGGAGGAGCCGGACATGTGGGAGTTGCACAAGTGGGACACGTGAAAGCCGGATGGGCATCCTCAGGTATGGCACAGATGAAAGGAGACGGATTGGAGCAGGAGACCGACGTCCAGCTACCATCTGGAGCTTTTGCCACCGCGCATGTGGCACCAGAAGTCGGTTGACCTACGGATAGATAAGGACTATTTTGAAGTTCTATCCATAATTCTGTTTATTCATAACTGTACCTGGGCTCCAATTTGTGTAGGTAGACGACGACCCATCTGAATTGCTCCAATTTCCTTGAAGCTTATTCATTCCGACAAAATAGGGAGATTTTATATTTTGTGCAACAGCCGACTCTGAACACTTTGCTCTGTCCCTAATAACGTAATGTCTAAGCGGTACTGAAACCAGAGTGATGAAAATAGCTCTTACCAGCAAGCATTGCGTTCTCGAATCCATTCGCAACTGACACAACATGGCCTTTGTTAGCTACACAAGCATCCTCAGCCAAACCAAAAGGTTGAGGCTCGGAAACGAACAAATAACATCTGAAAATCGAGGTCGTAAATATAACTAAATATTAACAATACACCTTTCCAGCTTACATACAAGTACGGGCTCCCCATAAACTTCAGCATGATTGTCGCTTAGTGTAGTTTGTGACTCAAACTCCCACGAGATTGCAAACAAATAACAACAATAAAGAACAGAACACTACAAACCACACCTTTCATCATCTCATTGCTCAGAATACCGAAAAGCTTAACTAAGGATTAGGGATGGGAACATTTATGAAATTTGTCTTATGCAACCCTTGGCATTACCCCACCCTTTTCAATATTTCTATTTCCAAAAAATTACAAAAATTGGGATCATTTCTTCACCTGTTAAATTCTGGATGATAAGTGGTTCCAATAGGGCAATCAGCAACGACGAAAGGCAGCAGCGCCAACAGAAGCACAAACATCGCCGCCAATGATTTTCAGCTTATCACCCTTTCAATTAGTAGTACTTCGCGTACGATAAGCGAAGGTCTGCGAATGTCTTTTCTCAAATGATCGGGGATCAGCGAAAATAAAATCTAGTGGATTTCTTTCACAAAACTGACGACCATTGACAAAGGTACAGTGTCCAGCTACTTACCATTCTTACGTCTTTTGTTTTCGTAGAATGGACCATGTTCGACTTTCTCTTAGTTTAGAGGACTGTTTTGAGTATTGCCTAGGCCTACGTGAGGACCAATCTCAAATCGTTTTTCGGCTTTCAGGCTCTGAAGAAGGCGAAGAGGCCGAAACGTAAGCTGGATAAATTAATGAATCTCGGAAAGGCTTTAAAATATCTCAAGGACAAGTTCTTTTGTTTTCATTGACTGTTGTAAACACGTGAATTTGGAATCTTTTCAACTGGAACAGAAGAGTATGCGAGCGAGTGAGGTTCCCGAAAAGGGTACAATAGGTTCTGCAACCTGAAATGAGCCTCATGAGTCGATGTAGAATACGCTTTTGCCCACAATCACGTTACCGATCGAAACCATCGATTTCCGTTTAATACGGTGTTATGATCAGTTAAAATCGACTATCAGTGGCGCTTGACATATCGGTCATACATATGTAATCACTTTGTATCTTGTCTTTATACAGTGATTCGTGTTTTCATTAATTTTCGATGATCGGAATGATAAATTATAATTTTTTGAGTGGTGAAAACAGTGATTGTAATACAAACGGCTATCAAAAGGGCTTACAAACGCGGAAGTTTTCATTGTGTAGTACATACCTTGAACTGGAACGAAGGTTGGGCTAATTCTTGGGGTTTTCGAAGCTTGTGACGGAGTTTTCAGGAAGAAAAACCTCTTGGCACGAAACGCACAATCGCCAGGCCTAACAACAAGCCATAAAATAGCGTGCCTGAATTGATCCTAACCAATTCTTTCACATATCTACCATGTACTAAAGAAACCTTAACTGCACTTATGAACCATACCTTGGTAATACATATATTATCAAGACTGGGAAGGACGTAAGCGGTCCTGAATGCTTCGAAGGTCAAAATGACTCAACTTCCATCGGATCTATGGGATATGTACAAAGAGAGGGACGCCACATCAGGTCACCGTATCTTCCCAGTACTGCTCAGCGTAGTTTAGTATAGTAGTATAGTATAGTAGTTTTTGTTATTTACTGGTTAGACTGATCATTCCTTGCTCCGGTACACAAATATAAGGGTGCAACAGGAGACTTCACAATAATGATATCATCAAAGAAATTACTTAGTAAAAAACTGCTCGAGGTACGGTGCGAGGTAATAGTGCTCGAGGTATTCATAGGTATATTAGGAGGAATCGCTCCTAATACCCTTTCGGATTCTTCACATAAGAGAACATAACGACAGGCGACGGTCTGTTTCCCTTTCAAATACGCACGTTCATGTTTGCTTATTTATTGTCACGGAGACTTGTTCGAAGAATCACATGCTTATCAAGAGAATAAATAAATTGGTTGGATCAACAGAAAGCTCAACAAGAACACAAGCCACAATGCGGAAGGCCCACATGCTCGCATGTTATCAACAATCTTTTTTGGGAAACTACTACTAGCCGACAATATTTGCAGAACTACTTGAAAGGAAAAAAATATCAACTGGGACCGGTGCGTACTGAGCCACTCTGTAAAGTCTCAACTACTAGAACATTTCTGTGAACGAGACGTTCAGCCACTTGCTGTGAAGGTTTTCTCAATTTCAAGTAGATGAGGATACAATTTCTATAGTCTTTCATAAAAGCCATGATAACAATAGGATTAGAAATTGGATACAAAGATATTGCTATCGATATGATACCAGTTGTGAACGTGTTAGTACTGATGCCACAGAACAATAGAAATACTGAAAAAAACCATGGAATTTGCAGGAAGACGAGTGGACATGATGTCTGAAATTTTTAAAAATCAAAATTATTCCATTTCTTTGAAGCACGCATAGCAGCTCTCTTGAAAAGTTCCAGATCATATTATGGACTAAATATTCGAGTAAACCTCAAAATGGAGATTCGAAACGAGGATAAGTGGGACGAAAAGTAGGTTTTTCAGTCTGCGCACAGTAGATAACAATCAGTTTTCTACTTGGTTTTTTAAGATCTACCGAGCTTACTATGCCCCCTTCCCCCCCCCCCCCCCCCCCCCCCCCNCACCCTCACATTTAGCCTCTAGTACTTTTGTTTTGAAGCAAACTCATTTCTCGCCAGCGCTCTTTACTTGAATAATCGGCTTAGACTTGAAATTTGTTATTTGTAAACGGATCATTCATAGAGAACCATGCCAAGGTAATTTTCAAAATACCGCTTACCTGTAGTAGTAGTAAAATAAACATATGACGTTGGTTGGCAATGAAATTCTTGTTTTGTGAAGAAGCGTTCTTCAGGAAAGACACAATTTCCTTTGCACAGAAGACGTTTACAAGTACCAATAGAACAACAGTGGATACCAGATCGACGAGTAACAAGAGATCGAGGGTATTAAGATTATTCTGAAAACACCTCATGATAACTGGAACTTCTCACGTGTTTTAGTTATTGATCCGGAGACTATTTCAGGAACTCAGCACTATTTCTTTGGGTTTGATGAATACTAGAAGCTCAAATCTCCTAACACCGCAGCATAGTGGGTAGCTAAATTTGTCTATCTCCTTGTCCCGTCTTCTTCCGGTGTTGTTCGGGAAAATGACTGTGGAAAGAGGGGGATGAACACGTTCATCTCAGGAGTATTACTTATTCATTTATTAATTTATTTACTTAATTATTTATCAATATTAGTCTATTAGTAACTACTAATTAGTATTAGTTGTGAACAACTTCAAAACCCTCCGCTAGGGAATTGAATTGTCTTACCTTCAAAGAGAACCCAATGAATGCTGCTTTTCTAATATCGATTCCAGGAAGAGTAACTGTGGTCGTCACCAAATGAACAAATTTTTCACCCGGCCAGAAGACTATATACATAGCTATGGCGATGTTGAATACGATAATCAGATTGACAAGGCAAGCAATGAGTATGGTTTTCTTGACAGAACATTTTTGAAAAAGATCGTTCCTGAAAAACAGTGTAACTCCAAAGTTGAGTGAAAGTCAAGTTTATATAGTATTAGTACATATTAAAAGTGAAGTCGACAATGTTCTAGCGACATTTCTGTATCCCTGGGTTGTGCTAGGGTTAATTTGTTATTCTTAGACGTTTCAGATAAAGCAGTTTAGAAGAATAATATGTAATAAATATTACCTGCATAGTTGTAGATACCGGTAAAGAAAACTGTTGGTCACAAGAACCAAGGACGTGAAAAAAGACAGTGTGAATATGGAAAGTAGAATAGAGCCCGTTATTCGATCACTCTGTACTCCGGTAGCAAAAAATATGATGAAGTTGCTATTCGAAACTACGAGCTGAAATATTACTATTGAAAAACATTGGTAATTATATATTAAGTTTTTTTTGTTCTTTGAATCATCTCTTTCAAAGCTTAACTACCAAAGCTATGGCTTGTACATTGGCTGGTCACCACATTGTATACGACAGAAACGTATCCAAAACGCCACAACTACTTTGGATGCAATCGAATGCGGTGCCGCACCCTACGGTCGAGATTGATTAACACCGGAAACTCTAGCCTTCATCCTTTTGAATGAAAAGGAAGCTCGCGTCAAGAAACAAAGGAATTTTAGTTTTTTAGTTCCACTTCATCTAAAAAACCTAACGAGGTCTGTTTTTCATCAAATAAAATTTATTCTCACCGGTATCAGCAACACGAAAGTTGCAGAAAATACGAAATCTTCGAGAACCGTCAGTAAAAAGAAATACTTATAGGACTTGATTTTTTTTAGTGGGCATCGGAAGTATACGATAAGAAGAAGTACGTTGAAAAATAATGATATCGCAGAATTACTATAGATTGTCACTGACACGGGATCGTTCCGCATTTCAATCATTCTGAACGATAGTTTAAATTAATTCCTGAAAATGATGAAGGAAGAAAAAATAGGGTACGGAGGAGGATATGAGGGTTCTGCAGAGGCAGATGGGATATGGGTTGTATCAATGGAGGGGACACAGGAGGGAAATGAGGGAAACGTGCAAACAGCAAAAACAGCAACCACCAGAAAATACATTATCAAAGGAAAGGGACTGGAACTTCCTGAATTGGTCAGTTTTTGGGGATTGCACCACGTAGTCGGCATTTATTCAATTTTATTTAGGTACTTGTTTGCGTTACCAGTTATAAAATGAACTGGGATCTTTGACAGTCCATTCTCTCATATAAAACCACTTCGTTAGCTCTCTGATGGTCTAGGATTCGATAAGGGAGAGTTTGAATTAGAAAGGGGAACACCGAGTTCCGTCTTTGAATAACTTTTTGAGTGGTAATGATTAGTGAGAGTCAAAAACGCCACACTTCGAGCCAGGGGAGGCCATCAAACTAGAAAAAAGCAAACGTGTTACTTTGATATTCAGCGAACATTTATTAAGGGAATATCATCGGACCGTATGATTAGTGTTCAAAGCATTCCATCCAAACAATGGAATGAATCTCATAACAATGGTTTCTTTGATGAATATTTTCTATTCAAAATTTTGTGCTCCAAAAAACTCGTTTTGTATGCCTCTACCTCCTTTAGCTACAATAACAAAGTGTTTTGAGAAAATCGTACGGGAAAACACCCCTACGAACGACTTTAGGCCCATTAATGTCTAGGTTTTCAAAAAATCGTAAAGAAACTCACAAGGACATATGAGAATGTTCGACTGAAGTGCTCTATAGCATAACAGATAAGCGATTCACAAAATCGAGGGCAAATCTTCTACTTAATCATTATTTTTATCTTTATAAAGTAACTTCTTCGGGAAATCGTCGTTTTGAATTACCATGTTCGATCATAATAGTTATGCCTAAGTGCTATGAAGAAGTATTCGTGGTCATTCT